GACCCAGAGAACCAGATTTCCAACATCTCTGCTGCCAAACGTGAGGAAATGACAGGAAGGTGACACACGACCACAGAATCAGAGCTGTGTTGCTAGAGGGCTTCTGCACTGGTACCACTTAACCTGTCGGCGCAGTTTGAGAAGTTTATAACCATTGTAAGATCAAAAGGGAATTCAGCCATAACTTTCACTTTTCTTAGCCATTTGCTCTTAGTAATGTTTTTAAATTTTTAATTTACGAATCTTTTTAAAAGAAAGAAATGAGTGGTTTAAATTTACCCTGTTAAATGTTGGTGAAAGTATTACAGCTCTCATTGACGTCAGTGACATGATATTACCAGTTTGTTCTCTGCCACATCTTACAGAGGAGTAAGCTGGTAAGTATATATTATATATATTTATATATAATGTAAATAGATTGACTTGTTACACCTATAATATGTTGAAATTGGTTTTTAAAAGGTGATGTAAATAGTGGTTTCCTTAATGAAAAATACATATTTTGTATTGTTCTAATGCAAAGGAAAAAGAAAAAACGAAACCTTTTAATCTTTTTTGTTATGTATATTCCATGTATAAGTGTAAATATGATCACATAGGTTTAAAAACTTTTGCATGTATGTATACAGTTGCAAGTCTGGAAGAATGTATAGAAAAATACTTTTATTTAAAGTTGTGATTACCTGCTGCATGAAAAGTGCATGGGGGACCCTGTGCATCTGTGCGTTGGCAAAAATGTCTTAACAAGTCAGGTCAGTTCAAAACACAACAGTATTCCACTTCTGGACATGACTTCTGCTGTGGTATTTTAGCTTTGTGAAAGAATGTGCTTCAAATCAAAAGGGTCTGGGGAAAAAAAAAAAAAATGCAAACCTACTTTTAAAACATGAAGTACTCATACAACTGTAATCAGTCATGTAAGTTCAGGATTCCATTCTGCGTAACAGATATTGTACCGGGACTATTCCGTTGCTGTAAAACAAAGGAATATTGATTTTCATTGTCATACATAAGGATTTGGGATTTTACCACAACCAATTTTATTGTGATGTGTTTTCAGTAATTTATCTAACTGGTCTCATTTTTTTATTAGAAATTAATTTCCTCATGTGATGTCACAAAACTGTACATACTGCAGTGTGAAGTTTTTTTAAATCTTTCAGTGTTTACTTCCTGCAGAAGATTTGAATAAATGAGAAAAATGCATTGTCTCGATGGTTTTAAAATCTGCTTTATTTCATGGGTCATGTTGTTATCAGAATGTTACTGGGCTCTTTGCATCAGTGCTATTAATATACATTTACAACAACAAACATATCTCAAGATGCTTAGGGGGGGCACACTTTTCAGCAAGGCCACTGACTGGAAACACATCCATGGAGCTGGAAATGAAGCTCTTAAATCAGATTAGGAGCTTTACTTTACAAAGCGCTCTATTATGTTTTATCCAGGTACCGTTCTCCTTATTAACCTGAAATCGGCAACCATAAACTGGAAACCTTTAAATGAGAATTTTCATGTGAAAATTTGTTTAAGCAAATGTTGAAACTTCTTCAGATTGCCTGGGCCGGGCAGAAAAGGTGTGCTTTCCAATTAAAATCTGCTTTGGTCCACATCACAGAAAGGACTTTTCAGTTGTGTTAATCTTCAGTTCTTAAACAAACGTAGAAAAATGAACGTAACTTGTCTGTGGAGACTGTACAAAGATTCAGCAGTGTATTTCTGTCATATAGTGCTGCTTTTAAGTTGGGTTATGACACTAGCACATTTGGTAGGTTGCAACAATGGTGTAAGTGGTGCTTGTCCAGAGAATTTTTATTTGAGGATATGTAGGCACACTGTCCAGAATTGTATAGTTGTAAGCAAGCATTTGGGTCATGACTGCCTTAGATAACAATAACAGCAATTTTCACAGATCATCCTTTGCTTTCTCATCTCTTCGGACAGAGATAAACATGCATTGGGTTCTTTGGGAGCTTTCTGGCGACTATAAATCATAATCCATAAATTTAATCTAAAAACAATAATTCCAACTCCATAGAATTCGGGTAGGTTTTCATAAGGTATGTGGCTGAGCATTTTGATTCATTGGTATCAGAGATGGAATAGGATTCAGATACGGGCTGTCTTTAGGATCTGTTTGGATGTGTTGTCTTAAAGTATGTGGGAAGTGGCTACAGCACAGGCCTGCTGGAGTTCAAGAAGTGTTTAGACAATGCTCTTAGACATAGGGTTGATTCTGGAAGTGGTCCTGAATGCAGCCAGGAGTTTAACTTGATGATCTTTGTGGGTCCCTTCTAACTCAGGCTATACATGAACCTATGTATAATGCCACCAGGGATATTCAGCTGTGCTTTGGAGTGAAAAGATCCTTTCACCTACCTTCTGCTTAGCCTCTCTGTGAGTAGCCTTGCACCTATTTCAGAGATGAATGGCTAAGCCAAAATACAGCCACATCAAAATGCAGTATGCCTAAGGAGCCAATCTAGTCTTCTAATAGCAGTGCAGCTGGGAAGTAATTTCTGAAATACATGTGTCCTCGCTGGCTTACTTCATTTAATTTTGATTCTATCAATCAAATAAAAACAATGTGTCTTTATTTCATATGAAGATGTCCTAGGGCAGTTTCCTCGGGGCACCTGAATATCACCTTTTTCTTTTTCTTTTTTTTTTCATTACTCTGGATGAGTTCAGGCTCTTATAATTTCAATATGCTTATTCAGGATGTACCGTTAACACCACATAAACCTTGTTTTATGTCTACCAGAACAAACAGGCCTGTGGAGCTGAACGTATGGTATGCTAAACAGCTTTGGAGTGATGAGAATGTTGAATGGGTGTAAATATTCTAAGAGGAACCTCACTCCAAGTGAGCATTCACAACATTTGCGTAGTGATTCATAATAAACTGCTCAAAAATGCCTCAAACCGCCAGTGAACTTTTGCAGGCAGACCCATGATTGTGCAGAATCTTCTTGATCTTTGAATGCACAACAGGTGCATGTGATGTTGACAATTTATCACAAAACGGCCTCTGAATAAAGAAATGAAAGTTTTTGCTTCAGAGATTTAAAAATGAGGGGGAAAAAAGTAGCAACCTGCTTGCACAGGACTCAGCAGTCCTATCTAATGCTCCTCAGTGAAACTTGCATTGTGGGCACCAAGGATGGGTGCTGAAGTTCAGTAAGACCTGGTGCTGGGTCCTGCACTTTGGCCATAACAACCCCAGGTGACACTACAAGCTTGGGGTAGAGTGACTGGATGACTGTGCAGAAGAAAAGGACCTGGGTTGGTTGATGCTCAGCTGAGCATGAGCCAGCAATGTGCCCAGGCGGCCAAGAAGGCCAATGGCATCCTGGGTTGTAGCAGAAATAGTGCTGCCAGTAGAAGCAGGTAAGTGATCATCCCTCTCTACTCAGCACTGGTGAGGCTGCACCTCAAGTACTGTCTTCAGTTCTGGGCTCCTCACTGCAAGAAAAGACACTTGAGACCAGGGTGCATGTCCAGAGAAGGGCAGTGAAACTGGTGAGGGGTCTGGAGCACAGGCCTTATGAGGAGCACCTGAGGGAACAGGGATTGAGAGAGTCTGACTGAGAGATTCTGGAAAAGAAGAGGCTGAGGGGAGACATTATTGCTATCTACAGCTATTGAAAGGAGGTTGTGGTGAGGTGGGGGATCAGCCTCTTCTCCCATTAAACTAGAAGGAATAGTCTCAAGTTGTTCCAGGGAAGGTTCAGGTTGGATATTAGGATAATTTTCTCTAAAAGAGTGGCCAGGAACTGGAACGGGCTGAACAAGGTGGTGAAGTTACTGTCCCTGGAGGTGTTCAAGAAACATGTCGATGTGGTACTAAAGGACGTGGTTTAGTGGGTGAAGTATTGGTGGTAGCTGGATGGTTGAACTGGATGATCTTGGTGGTCTTTTCCAACCTTGGTGATTCTATGATTCTATGACTCGGATAGTAGATTATATGCAGATCTGTGCATTGTGGAAACCTGTATCAGCAGAAAAACTTTTTGTGGTGGTAATACAAATAGACGTATACAAATAAAACTGAAGCAAATGGTTCTTGATTGACCTTAAACATAATCAAGAAACATGGGATTTTTGAAACTGAAGAATACCATGAAAATATTTTTTCTGTATAGCGCTGCTCATCATGTTAGAGACGTGTAACACACCTGTGGGAATGTCTGTAGGGACTCAATATGCGCCTTTAGCAGTGGCTAAGACATGCAGGTGATAACTGTCAATAGGATTTTATTTTCTTTTGATTATCAGAGTGTCTGAGAGGGAGCATGGCACAGACTCAGGGCATAAAAATCCTCTCTGCTGGTAAATATCAATGCAGCTAATGAAGGAGCATATGCTGATCTGAGCTCACACAGCCCACTTTGCTTTTGCTTTTTAAGGGCTGCCTCCTCTTAACGAATAATGAGATTTTTCACTTTTTCCAGATTACTTTTCTGATTAACCTACTCAGAATGTAACTGAATGCAAAACAAACATCATTGGTTTGCTGCTGTGCCCTTTAGATAAGTGTGATGCCTGCCACTTTTACCACAATTAAACTCAGCATGTGCTTTTGGTGCATCTCTTCCTTTGGAGACATGGAAAAATAGCTCCCTGTCCTACTCTCTAAGCTAGATGAGGCTCTATCACCCCAGCCTTTACTGCAGCTGGTGTTAGTTACACCTTTGCATGCTAAGAAACTGAAAATTTCTGTTCAGACCTCAAAGGTAACTTAGAACTTATGTAGAATCATAGAATTACTTGAGTTGGAAGGGACCTTTAAAGGCTCTCTAGTCCAACTCTGCAATGAATAGGACCACCTACAGCTTGATTGGGTTGCTCAGAGCCCTGTCCAGCCTGATCTTGGATGTTTCTGAGGATGGGGCATCCACCACCTCTCTGAGGAACCTGCTCCAGTGCCTTACCAACCTTATTGTAAAAAACTTCTTCTTAATGCCCAATCCAAATCTCCTCTCTTTTAGTTTGAAACCATTTCCCCTTGTCCTATCACAACAGTCCCTCCTTTAGGTTCTGAGAGGTCATTATCAGGTCACCTCAGAACCTTTTCAAGGCTGAATAGCCCCAGCTCTCTCAGCCTGACCTCATAAAGGTGTTCTATCCCTTAGAACATTTTTGTGGCCCCTCATCTGGATGCATTCCAGGTCTGTGTCTCTCCTGTACTGAGAACTCCACATCTAGATACAGTACTCCAGGTGAGGTTTCACCAGCACAGAGCAGAGGGGCAGGATCACCTCCCTTGATCTGCTGATCATGCCTCTTTTGAAGCAGCCCAGGATACAGTTGGCTTTCCAGACTGTGAGAGCACATTGCTGGCTCATGTCCAGCTTCCCATCCGCCAGTACCCCCAAGACCTTTTCAGCAGGGCAGTGCTCCACCTTTACATTGCCAAGCTTGAACTGATAGCAGGGGTTGCCACAACCCAGGTGCAAGACCTTGCACTTGGATTTGTTGAATCTCATGAGATTCACCTGGGCATGAGACTGTCTTAGTCTCTCTGGATCGAATCCTGTCCCTCAGCCATGTCAGCTACACCACAGAGCTTGGTATCATCCACAAGCTTGCTGAGAGTGCACTCGATCCCACTATTGATATCACTGACAAAAATGGTAAAGAACACTGGTGCCATTACCAACCCCTGAGGGACACCACTTGTCACTGATCTCCATCTGGACCTTGAGCCATTTCTGAGTATGATCTCAACCAGTTCTTCGTCCATCAAACTGTTTACCCATCAAATCCACATCTTTCCAATTTGGGAGAAAAGGATGTTGTTGGGTTATACGTCAAAGGCCTTAATTAAAGTCCAGACAGATGACATCAGTGGCTCTTCACTTGTCCACCAACTATGTTGGTTATGCCATCATAGAAGGCCACTAGGTTGGTCAGGTAGGACCTGCTCTTGGTGAAGCCATGTTGATTATTCCATATCACCTCCCTCTCTTTCATTTGCCTTGGTATAGCTTTCAGGAGGATCTGTTCCATGCACTTCATTGGCACATGGGTGACACTGACAGGTAAGTAGTTCCATGGGTCATCTTTTCCACCCTTCTTAAAAATGTGTTATTGCCTTTTTCAGGGGATCTTACCTGGTCGCCATAACTTTTCAAATATCATCAAGGTTGGCTTGACAACTATGTCATCCAGTTTCTTCAGGACTTTGGGATGCATCTCATTAAGATCTGTAGACTTATGGATGTTCAGGTTCCTCAGGTGGCTGTGAACCTGATCTTCACTTACAGCGAAAGGGGCACTGCACCCCCAGTTCCCATCTTCTTAACCATCCACTCAAGGACTGTGTGTAGAACAGTTGCTATTGAAGACTGAGGCAGAAAAGTTGTTGATATCTCAGCCTTCTCTTTGTCTGTTGTTACCGACCTGTCTGTGTTGCACTGCGGGGGTATGGCCTCCTGGACTTTCCTTTTCTGGTTGATGTACCTATAGAAGCCTTTCTTATTCTTCTTTGCACCTCTTGTCAAGTCCAGTTCCAGTTGGGCCTTGATCTTCCTGATCCCATCCCTATACAGTTTAGCAACATCACTATACTTCTCCCAGGTTACCTGTCCTGCTTCTACTGCCTGTTTGTTTTCTTCTTGCTCTCCAGTTTGACCAGCAAGTTGCAGTTTAGCCATACCAGACTCTTGCCTTCCTTTCATGACATCCTGTACCTGAGGATGAGAGCTCTTCTGCCCTAAGAAAAGTGTCCTTAAAGATCTGCCAGCTCTGCTCCGCTCCCTTGTCCTTGAGGACAGATTCCCAGGGGAAACTGCAAAACAGCTGTGGTTGCCACTGGGACACTGACACCTCCATTCTGTTGCCATCAATTCTTTGTCTACACGTTTGTAGACAAAAGATAATACCACTGTATTACAAGCAAAATACCATTGTTTTACAAACTCTGCCAGACTGGAACCCACACTTAAGTCTCACTGCCAGTACCAAGGAGGACAGTGAGAGGTGAACAAGCTATTTTGGAGCTGCTTGTTCTGGTGCTTGGCCAGTCATATGCCGTTACTTGGGAGAAGCTTTCCCAAGAGTTTCTGAAGGAAGGAAGTTCCACCAATACTTTGGCCATTAGAATATTGCAATTTTTTTTTCCCCCAAAATGTTTTATTCCTATTTGGTTCTGAAGAATAACCCTTGTTTTCTTTTAAGAAATCTGTGTAAGTTTCACATGCCTTACAGGTACTCTGCACACGAGTTGCCTTTGGTCACGCAGGAAGTCTGTGTTGCTTCACTTGCTGTGCAATTCAACAGTGCTTGAATGTGTCTGCAGAATTGTCCTGTATGTGTGCTGTGGAAAAGCACAAACTGCCCATCTCGTGGGCCACTGTTAATGCAAGGAGAGGGGGAAGAAAGAGAGGAAAGAGGTTAGCAAGCTATAACGATGTTATTCCCAAGGGCCTTTTATGTTCAAATCCCACACCCCATCAGTGTGGTTGCAGAGAGGAAATCTTTATCAGCATCTGAAGCAAGAATTGGATAAATCCAGGAAACAAAAGCCTCACGTATCTATTCGTGCCATAGGTAATAAACTATTTGTAGTCCAGTTTCACTGCTTACATCTTAAAACATATGGAAGCATTTTACTTACTTCCTGGTAGAAAACACAAATTTGGCTTTGCCTTATATTTTGTTGTACAGAAGTACAAAAGGCTGTTTGGTTGGTCTGAAAGTAGGCTTGAAACTCTAAAAGAAATTAGTTTAGCTAATCCCTGCATGTAGTAATTCTTTCTCTCATACTAGCAAATGTTAACTTTCGTGCTATTTTTTCCCTTCCTCTTCCCTACTATTTTCAGTCCTTTCATCTTATTTTTAAACTATCTAGTCACCCAGTCATCACTTATGAATGGCAGAAAAGGCAAGGGGAAAAAGTATATATATTTTTAGACAAAAACCTGCTTTGAAATATGCACTTGTCTAAGGTACTACTGTATAACTATGCTGAGTATTGCATCCTGCTCTCTCCTACTGACAGCATCCACCCAAGGCATTGTGTAATTCCTGTGCAGTAAGAGAGGTGATGACCTGTAACAACATCTACCCCCAGTATCTTTCCTTGCCTTTAGAATGCTGCTTACTGTGGCAGAAAGAAGCAAAGTGCAAGTGACAACGCCAGTTGGTTTGTATTTTTTTCCACCAAAAATGTTGGGATTTAAAAGTGACACACAATAAAAGGTACAAGGATGGAATAAGAGAGAGTAGGGCTATGAAGAACGAGAAAGAGGGAGTCACTTGTTATTTTTCTTTGAACGTGTCCTCAGCACAATCTAGCTGGCTGCCTGTGGCCTGCTCCCGTGCTGTGCCACCACTTGTTCCCAGAGGACACAGCAGCGGTGCGGGCAGTGGTTGCTCCCCGTGGGCCAGGTGCTGCTGTGTGTATGAGAGGTGATGCAGAGAGCTGCAGGCTGCTGGTGGCCACTTGCTGCTCACAAAGCCTCAGCAGCTGCTAAGGGATCAAGAAGGCACTAAAATCCGCTGAAAAACGTGAACAGCCCAAGAGCCATCCCAGATTTCTTCACGGCATAGGTTTGCAGCCATTAATTTAAAAGCAAAAGGAATAATGGTCTAGAAGCGGACAGCAGCTATTGTGCTGAATCTTTCAAGCTTTCATCACAGGTCTAAGGATAAATCCCAGTTACATAAATAGATGACTTTTCTTTTTATATCCAGTGGCTTCCGTGGATTTTTTTTCATTGTTGATCTCCCACATCTGTTTAGCACTTGAAAACTTCATTCACTTTGGTAAGAAAGGCATTATTGCCATCTTCTTGTCATCTTTGTTTTTCTTCTTACATAAACACTGATGCTGTGCTCAAGCTAGAAAAAGACGGCTCAGCATCCCCTGTTTGATTTCAAACTACGTCTGTAATGTGCCACAGCTCTGTGTGCAGAAAGTCTCCTGAACAAGACCAGGAACCTCCTGCTTGGAACAGAAGCCTCCTCTGACCCGGCTGCAGGCTGCCCGTTGCCATTGGAGTGATGTGGCATACCGAGCGCTGTGTACATTTCTGCCTAGTTCAGTTCTTATATCTCTCAGTTTGGATCAAGGGGATACAGAGATTTTTGGCAGTACAAACACAGCATAGGCTGCAATAGTAGCAGCTGGCTTCCAGACATTCACGATCTTTATGTTACCCTGCATAAAAGGCAAAGCTGTGCCAGTTGCCACTCTCTGAGCATATGCCCAGTTAGCCCAAAGCAAACATGATTGCTCTGGAGCTGTTTGTTTTGATGTGGGATGTGACTACCTGCAATGTGGACCATGCTTTGCAGGAAACCAGAGGACTCAGTGTACGAGGTCAAACTCTTGAGTAGTGTAGCAACATCTGCATCTACAGGGCAGAGTAGAGCCTTTTTATCTCTGAGCAGCTGTGCTCACCATTTGGAGTTTGCTCACTTCCTCTGCTTGGTGCACTGTTAGATTTTTCTGGACTGGGAGCCACGAAGAAAAGAATTGGATGAACAAGAATGGCACTTGTGGGGATAAATCCAGTCCCTGGAGCGAGCACCCCAATCAGAAGGTAGTGAAGAAAAAAGCTTCAACTTCTGTCAAGAAAGCTGTCAGGACCAGGAGACAATTAGAGCAGTATCTTGGTCAAAGAAGGAGCATTTGGAAAGATGTTCTATGTCTTTTTTAGATGGCATGCAAATTCCTGTTCTGGTAGGTCTCATATGGGATCTGGCAGCAGCTAAATGAGGCACCAAGAAGGGGCCACAATAGATGAGTTCTGCTGGCTACTGCTGCTTGGTGTGGTGGAATGTCCACAGTGCCAGCTGAGTAGACGGTAGCATCCTGAGCCCTGAGGGAATGATGCCAGGGTTAGGCATGCTGAAAAAGTCCAGGGTAAAATGGAGCTGCAGGATAAGTGATGTGGTACCAGGATGCCTTGCCATAGCTTCTGAGCAAGGATGTTACAGAGTCAAAAAGATACAGCTCCTGTAAAAACCTAAATTCCTATTTACTGATTTTTGTATTTTTTTTTTTTCCGTAGCAGAAATTACAGCTGCTACATCACTCTTTTCTCAAGGTCAGCAGCCATCACTGAATTCTTTTTGCCATGAGCAAGGGTCGCTGGGTAGTTCTTACTACAGTATTGGGAAATAAAGAGAAGGAGTAATCTAAATCAGGCTGAGTCTGCATTCTGTCAAGACTGGCAGCATTAACTGCCACCATCCTCACCAGGAGAGGAGGGGCAGTCACCAAACTGATTCACAACTCACAGGTTTGTGTTGTAATTGACTGTAGGTTTTCATTAGATTTCATGTGGACATATGGTCATGTTGAGAGTTCTCTGTTAAGCAGGCCTAAAAAGACTTTTCCTTGTTTTAGGGAGAGTTTAGTGCTAGTGGAGTTGTATGTGGACCTAAGATAAACAAGAGGATATTAATTGCCCTACATCAAGTTTTGTTGTGTTAGAATGCACAGCTTGTGATTTGGCCCTGTTGCACAGAATACCTAAATGTGAAGATTCTCGTCGATTGGGAAAATCCCTAGGTGTGATGGAAGTGCTGTGCTCTGGTAACCTGTCAGAAATGTCTTTGCAAGCGAAGGATCACAGAGCACAAGGCAAACTCCAAACTCCACAGCTCCTGTCTCTTTTGCTTCCTGTCTCTGCAGCACTTATTTAAACTGCACTCTGCAACTCTTCCTTTGCTTTGGTCATCTCACCCGGGATCCTGGAGTAAAAGTAGGTTAAAATGTGCAGGCAAGAAAAATATTTTGAAAATACAACTCAATTACAAGGCACTAAATGAGCAAGTTTAAAAGCTAGTGAGGATAAAGAAAATGTTCAGTAACCGAGAGAGTATCTGAGGTGGAAGCAGGGTAGCAGCAGTGATTTTTACCTGAAACCCAAGGAAGCTGACCCCAGGCATGCAGCTGCATTGCAGATATAACCCCTAATAGGCTTGGACAAGCAAATAAGACCTTGCAGCAGTGAAAGAGCCCTATTGTGATTGTATCAGCTTGTGGGAGCTTGATGTCTGTTTTTTCTCAGCTGGGCTACACCTTACTGCGTTTTCCCCAGCCATAAAGCTCTTTCACTTAGGCTTAGTTCCAGTGCTCAAGATTTCAGTGTATTTTTAGCACGCTGTTTGTTTATTATCTGCCATACATTTCTTATATCTACAGAAGGGCATGTTAAACATGGGGCCTTCTGTCTAGAATAGGTTTTGTTAAATAACACAGTCAGTGCTTTTGTGCTTTCTGATAATGTAGGGTGGGGAAACTTTCCTAGGAAGAATAAAAAAGAAGAAAATCTCTAAATTTGGCTGTGTCTCCAGCTAATCCAAAATGCTTGATATTTATTTGCTATATAAGGAATTTCAGTACACAGAATTACTTCAGTGTTTGTTTCTGTGGAGAGCAATGTGAATGAGCATGTGTCCATACAACACATGCAGAAGGCTGGTACAATGACTCATGTAGACAAAGGAAAAAGGAAGGAAGCTTACAATGCAAGGGCTGATATTTAAAACAGCAGGGGTACACAATGAGCATTCTTGTAGAGTGGCCATTATTTATTAAATACAGAGTGATTGGAGCTATGCAAAATGAAACGAGACATGCTTCAAGGAATTCGCAGCCTATTAGAAACTCAGAAACAACATTGGAAGCACATAAAGTACATTAAGTGCTGGTACAAGTTAGCAGTAGCGAAGGAATCTGGCTGAGGTCATTGTTGAAAAGTATTGTGAAAGGAAAAAGTTCAGAGGAGGAGGGGGGAAGTCATCTGAGGTGAAATTCTTTGGAAGATTGAAGTGGACCTGGCACCAGTTCCTCTGCGTGGGGTGGATTTTATCCCTGACATTGGAGAAAGATGACTTCCCATCTGAAGTGGCTGTCAGGGAGAGGAGGGCAAAGGGGAAGCAGGTTGAACTGGTGAGAAAGGGCGTATGGCAGGACTTGTGGGTGATTTTTGAAGGCATCAGAAGAAAAGAGAAGGTGGAAGGGGAAGAGGGGAAAATATGCATACATGGAACTACAAATTGACTGACCTTGCCTTGGAGCTAGTCAAGAAACACTGTTTACTGGTGATGCTGAGATGATTCTCAGGAGTTCTTTCTCAGCTCATTTTCAACTTTCAGTATCTTCTGAAATTTGGTAAATTGTAAATAAAGTACAAATAAAGAAGGAGAAAGATTCATTTAAATGATAAATTCGCTACTCAAGTATTGGCATTCCTTATTTCTAGAGGAGGGATGTTGTATGTTAACTTGAAACAAGAATGCTTATGTATAGTCTGTGCCATGGAGGTGATTCAAAAAGGGGCCTTTCAGTGTGGGGTTGCCCCGTAACCCCTTGAATAAACATCCAGTGAACTCAGGCATAAACATGGGGAAAGAAAAACCTGAAGATTGTTGAAAGATGAAAACAAAATACTTTCTTTAATACATAAATAATTCTAAAATATGTATTGCAGTGTTTGAGCACTGTTGGATAAAAGGTCTAATGTTCTTGGAAATGCTTCTGGTGCCCAGGCCAGCTGACAGCTAGGGTATTTAGGTATTTGCACACATAGGCAGGCAGAGCAGTACGCGGCGATACAGACAGGCCTTGAGAGTTGAGCAGAGAAGTGAATGTCATCTGGATCTGACAAATGAGCAGTAGCGAGGTAAAATCAGGAAAGGCTACGTGAAGCAAGCTGACTCCAAGTCCCTGAGTGCTCCGTTTGTTTATACTGTGCTGCTTTTAGCTAGCAGAGATGTGTCGTCTGGTGTGTGGGTGGTCCCTGCACTGTAACCCAAGGCTAGCTCTTGCTTAGTGCTGACACTGCCATCTCATTGCTGCAAATGGAAAAAAAAAAAAAAAAAAAAATGTAATGAGACTTTCTACCAGTGAATTTTGGGGAATTTTCATAATTTCTGGTTGCAAGGGACAAGAAAATCACAAAATGCAGCTGGCACAGTTGTTGGCAGGCTGTCAAGCTGACCATGGTTTTACACAGGGCCTGATGAAGTAGATGACCTCAGCATCTATATAACTTGTGAATGGACCTATACATGCTTCCTTTCTTTCTATAGTACAGTGTGCTCACTGCATCTACTCAACATATAGCAGAGCCAAGCAGCTACAGGTAACAGATGAGCCTCACAACAACTGAACTGTTGTTCACTACAACAGAGAAAAGGAGGAGGCTGGTATTTCTTCAGGTCTTCAGGCCATATATTTCAGGAAAAAAATTCTTTGTTCTTTTTCAACTGACCTAAGAACCCCTTCTGGCCTTGGTTTTGTGAAGCTATGAATCCTTAGCTTTTGCTTTTCACCCTGAAGGGTTGTTTCTTTTGGGTATGAACTTTGATTCTTTGCTGTAATTTAAGCAGTGTTGGTAACACCTCACCTCTGCAGACTGACCTTGCTTTCTTTGTCATGGAGAATACTGAGACTTAGACTATGTAAGTGCATTTAGATATGATGGTTGGGACTAGATGATCTTAATGGTCTTTTCCAATCTTAATGATTCCATGATCCTATACAAATTTGGGTAAATTGCATGTTGTTCTTCAGGTATTATATTAATTCAGTGAAATTAACCATCTTGACAAAAAAAAAACGTGCTTTTACCAGATGTCTCTCACAGGCTTCTTACACATTTTCCAGGGATGCTCAGAATCCCTATGGCCCCAAGTAGAAAAATGTAAGATGTAGAGGGACAGTCTCTAATGAGTATTCATGTTTTATGAGTAAAAGATACAGGAATACTTGATGAAAGGAAATATTTTGAAACAATTTAGATTTAATTGTATGCCAGATGACTTTTCACCTGTTTAACACACTAGCTAATGTAAATATATCTTCTATGTTTCTCCTCAGCAAATTCTGTTTAGAACATCCTACACAGACCTGGAAACACAGTGCTGCACTTGGGGGAGAAAAATTGCATCTGTGGACTCCTGTCCCTGCCAGATTACAAGAGTTTATTACTCTTAGGGGAAAGCTTAATAGTCTGTTAATTGAGAAGACAGAAGATCTTTTACACTTGGCTGCACACTATTATTAGGAGCATTGCAATAAAGGGAGCAAAGCTTATCCTACATATTCAAGCAAAGTTTTGCAAAATAGGATAGTGATGCATTATCCATGCTATGGTGACGCGGTTCTCTTCAGAGTACAAAAGGCCTCGTGGTAATAAAAGCATTGATTACAGTCAGGGTTCTGTTGTGTGAGGACCAATGCTATGAGAAGAGCTGTGGTGGTTCTCATGCTTCTGACTTTATCCACAGAGTTGTAACTCTCTTACACCATGGTGGTGTAAAGTTAGGCCTAACTTTCACAGAATTACCAATTTATCCAAAATCTTGCTGCTCTTTAAACTTTGAATCCAGACTGTTTGTAGTTTGGAGTGAAAGCTGAGTTCCTTAAAGGCACGAAACAATTTGTTCCAAGGTTTTGTCGCTTTGTGTGCAAAACTGCTGCTGCTGTTCAGTGTGATCTGATGTTACCATGATTCACACGTAGTAGCACTGGTACCATGACAACTCCAAATTCAGCCATGCTTGTGAATCTCAATCTCTTTTATAATTCTCTCTCTTTTTTTTTTTTTTTTAATGTACGGTGTCATTCTGAATTGCTTCTGCAGATTTTTATGCCAGCTGTTACTGCCTCAAATGGAAGAAAGCATGCTTAGTGTTAAGCCTTCTCTGTCTTATATTTTTATACTGAAGTAAAGCATGGTGCTGTAAGAAACAAATGATTTAATATACTCTATAGTCATTTATTCTTATCAACAAAAACTCAAGAAGTAGGCATAAGGCCATACTGCCACTATGAAGGCTATGAAATTTGGGTCTCAGACATGTTTATAAGTAGTTTCTTAGCGCTTGTGTGTAGCTGGGCATGGGCAGATTTTAAAGCCTGAGCACACCTGAGGTCTGTGTTGTTCCAGGGATATGCAGTGGTCCCTTGTGAAAGGAGGGTTTTGAACCCCTGTATTTAAATTCAGTACATTTAATCATATATAATTTGCATCGTATACATCATCATGTGCATTACACTATATACATCAGTCTGCTTGTGGCTCGGTCCACTCAGCCCTCTTCTCCATGCAGCCTTTCTGAGAAAGTATGTGCTTGTGGGGGCACTGGGTGAGCATTCACAACCTGTGCATTTTTCAAATCTTGAGGTCTCTGAAGAAGCTCCTAATTAAAAATAAAAAATAAAAATGGGGCTTCTGTGCAGGAATGGTTTGCATTTGGTGTAACACTACAGCTGTGCCATGAAGAGCCTTTTGCAGCTGAGACACTGGAGCCAATGAGGAGTTTTACTAGGAGAGGAATTTGAACTGAGGATAACATTAACTTCTGCTTACCATAGAATCATAGAACTATAGACTGGCCTAGTTTGGATGGGATCTTAGAGATTATTGAGCTCCAACCCCCTGCCATGAGCAGGGTTGCCAACCACTAGATCAGGCTGCTCGGGACCCCATCCAACCTGGCCTTGAACACCTCCAGGGATGGGGCATCCACCGCTTCTCTGGGCAGCCTGTGCCAGTGCCTTACCCTTCTCTAAATACTTCTTCAAGTGTAGATGGAAGCACAGGAACCAGCACTGTTGCAGTAGAGTGTTGGTCTTGTCAAGTTGAATACCTGGCTGAGTCATTGCTGTCACTAAATTTCCAGTATTTTCTTCTGTGAAATGGTTCATTTAAGAATACATACAATCAAAGCCATTGTGACAAGTTGTTTTGGGTATAGACAACACTATCTAGCAACCAGTCTCCAACAGCTGCATCCTGAAGTATCACACGGCCAGATCTCAGCCTGCTGCATCAGCCTGATGACTGCAGGAGCTCCATAGGGGGTGGTGGGACAGGCCTTGCCTGGGCAGCTGCAGGGCTGTGGCAGGTAATGGCTGTCAGGTGGATGGCTGCAGCATTTTTCTTGCTGCAAGGCACCAGCAGTGCATTTGGTGGTGGTGTCTGAGTGCACTGGGAGATAGGTAAAATGTTCTTGTAGGATATGCACATTCCACTGACATCATTTTTAAGTTCTAAGGCAGGAGAAGAAACCATGTGAGCCAAGATGAAGAACAGGGACTTTTAAAACCTGCCTTTTGAATGTGTTTTTTAAAAATGTGCAGCATATCTGTTGTGTTTCGTGACTAGTAACAAGCAGTCTTGTGCTTCCTGATCCAAGTTCTGTCAATTCTGGCAAGAGCATGTGGAATTTATTTTGGACTCACTTGGATTATGTCAAGCCATTTCACACCCCCATGCCCTGGCAACGAATGTACCAGTACACAGCTCCAGCTGGGTCATGCTGCTGCTCTTACCAGGTCAGACACGGTGCAGCCTTAAAAAACAAACAGGTGTCCACTGTGAGAATGTGCTGCAGTCAACAATGTGCCCTCCTCTCCTGGGAGCAAGAAGGTTGCTGTGTGGCACTGCAGGAGAAGGCTTTGGAGGCCGGATCTTGCAGGGGCAATTTGGGGTTGCTCAAAAAGGTTTGAATGGGGCTACAGAAGAGTGGTCCTGCTGAGTGTAACTCTTTTTTACAAATGTCTTGATTAAGTCTCACAGCCAGCTAAATCAGCACCGTGTCTTGAGGTGCTGATAGGACGAAAAATCAAATAACACAACTAGTATGGCATCACTACCATACCCAACTCTATGAACTACTGAAGAGCTGAGATGACAGCCTAAGGAAGAGTGACAGCTGCTAGAGCTGCCATGGAGAAATTTGGAATAGGACACTCACAAAATATGGGAGACAGTGCACCAGCTGATAGTTCATGACCAAGGGCTTTACAGCCCCTCTGTCTTCAAGAGTGAGGGGGGGGGTTGGTGCTGGCTGTAGGGAAATGGCAATACAGTCATCAGTGTCACCAGTCATGGAGGAAGCCCAACAATACCATGAATCAAGCAAGTCACAAACAGAAATGTGCCCTACAAAGGAAGCGTGTTGGTGTCTGAAACTGCTGTTCTTTTTCATGCTGGTGAAACTTAAGTCTACACAGCTATGTCTGCAGAGGAGCATGAAAATTCCTTGCAAGAAAATCTTGTGATAACAGTTGGCATGCTTTGCAGGCCAGAGATGCTGACAGACAGCTCTCAGAAAGTGAACAGGAACACTAAACGAGAATATTAACATCTGCCCACCAGGAATGAAGAGTACTGGGGCTGCATTCTGCAACTGAAATGAACTGACAAAGCCTGCGAATGTGAAGTAGCTGAAGGTTTGCATCTCTCTAGGCAACTTGACAACCGTATTGTGTAAAACTCTCGGTGGCTGCTCTTTCCCCATGTGCTTGATCCATTGCTGCAAATTGAATGAATGCCTAGATAGGCTGTCAGCTACTGGGATTTTAAAGGAAAAAAAACAACAACAACAAGAACAACAACAACAACAAAAACTTTGCTATTATTCTTAGTTTGCATATACTTATTTTAATATATTTAGATGTAGAAGTACTTAACTGCATAAAGCCACAGATGTCTGAAAGCCTCTCAGGGATGACAGCATGCATGGATGACATTGTAGCCTGGAACACTGCTCTTTGTCTGCATTAGGAATGACTACAATTAGTAACGGAAATTGAAGATGGGAAACCACCTACGTTGAGAAGAGATTTACTACAGATGGAGCCGTGCACAATAATTCTGAAAACCAAGCAATATTTAACATCCAGATAAAATGAAGATAAGTCTGAAATTCAGCCACTCAAAGGCAGTTTAAAGTAGGTCAGTGAGTTTAAACCCAGCATTGCAGTTTGAATAACTCACAGAAAGTGTCTGCATATTTTTCAAAACCCAGGCGCTGCCTAAAGCCATTGCTTTGCAGCAAATCCAGAAGTTGACTGAACATCCGAAAGTCTGATCCAAGACTTTCCAATGCTGCAATAACATAGAAAATGAGACTAAATCATTATCCTTTTTTAAGAAGTGCCCAGTCAGGGAAAAATGTAAAAGGGTTAAGCTTCAGCTGACACAGAACTTGCTTCTAACATGAGCTTATTAGGAGCAAGAATACGTCTCTGTGAGAGCAAGACAAGCATTAAGTTTGGCTGTGGCCTTTCAGTCACAGCATTATGCTCCTCTTTAGGTTTTGTGCAGTTTCAAGATGCTTTCTTCTGGCAGTCTTGTCCATCACTGGCTTCCTTGATCAAAGGCAGAGCCCATAGGTCAGGGCTACCAAAAGCCTATCTGCATGTGACAAGGTCAGTACCTCGGTGCAGATGGTGGAGAAGAAAAGGTAACAAGTATTCAGCTTCCAGTGGATGGTGTAGGCAGTCTGACATAGGTAATGCCTACCTGAGAGCCCAAGCAGGGCACCCAGAAATGCAGGTTGGAGCAGGCTGGGGCAGAGCAATCAGATGCAACTGTACTGGTCACCATTAGGAAAAACATGCTACAGGGTCCCTGTTGTCTCACGTGGACTCAATTCTTTTAATAAAAATAGTTAGTGTTAACTTGCTGCTGGAGAACACTCGCATTGGCCAGTTGCTGGGGCTGGCATGTGGCTTCTCCCTTCTTGCATTTCAGAAAAGTTGGTATTTCTTCACTCCTGAAGACACAGAAACTTCTGTTTTTGGCATGCTGTTTCTCTGTGGGTCTTCAGACCAAAACAAGAGAATTGGTCAAAAAAAAAAAAAGAAAAAGAAAAACAGAAAAAAAACCCAACCCCAAATAAAGTGACACTGCGTTGCTGGCTAGAATCCTTCATCTCTCCTGATAGCACAGGAAGGCTTGTAGACTTCCACAGCAATGGACTCAGGTTGGTATTTAAATTTATTTGAGAAGAAATCAACCTAAAAATATAAGTGAAGACTGATGCTGTTTTTTAGGTTAGCTCTGCCTTATTTAGTGAGCCTCGTTACATGTTCAATGACATAAAACCAGGTGGCAGTTGACACACTAAACCAGTCTAAACAGGTCACAGTCTGCTCCAATGTCAATCATTTGCCTGAGGTCAGGAAGTAAAAGTAGGCCATGACTTCATTTCTAAAAACATCAGATTCATTTTTGTTCCTTGTTAGTTTTGTTCAACTCTCCTGTTAAAATACAGTGGTCACATGCATCCCGTGTGAGCAGCTGAACTTGAGAACGTGTCTGCAAGAGGAACCCGTGCACTGGATTGCTGCTGCTCCCTGTGCAGTGCCCACCCTTCCTTCTACTGGATGCAGCACGGTGGTTGTTTATCATCCCTCCTGCCTCCAGCAAAAAGCATTTCAGATTTCACAGAACAACTCTCTCAAACAGCTCTCTTTATGTATGCCAAAGGTATACAGAGTTGTGAAACACGCTTTCGGGGATAAAAGTCTTAGCTAATACAACGGTGTGATGCTCT